TGGGGGTGAGGGGCTCAGGGCGGAGGGTTGGGGGGCTCTTGCTGCCCTTGCAGCTGACAGTAGCTGGCCGGTCAGGGCCTCCTTGCCGTCCCGCCCCTCAGGGCAAAGGCCGTGAGCTGGGACCTCTGCTGACTGCGGGCCGGGTGCAGGCGCTTGGGCTGCCAGAGGGCAGGGAGGCCCCTTGTGGCCCAGCCCTGTGGCCGAGCCCTGGTGGGTGGCGAAGGGCTCAGCCAGGGGACTGCCGCGTATGGGGTACCCCAAAGGGCCGTGCACGGGGGCCGTGTGCGGTGCTGATTCTGGGTGTGCGCCTCGTGTACTTGTACGCTGGCTGTGTGTGGAGTGAGACGCTGGCAGGGGGGGAGGATGCCAGGGGAGGTATATAGGGGCCACGTGGCCCCCTCCGTCTGGTCTCGAGTTCAGCTCCTGATCCCAGATGCAGCCTTGAGCGAGCCAGGAAGACCCGCTGGCCCCTCCTGACATGGGATGTAACCAGAGACTTGTGAGCCAGCACTTTGGAAGATCTCTGCTAGAGCCTGCATGGAGAACTAGGAGATTCGGTGCATGGAACGTGTGATCCTTTACCAGCCTCACGCTCCTGCTTTTCTTTCAGCGGGATTTGTGGGTAAGATCCAGGGGGTAAATTGACCTGGGATCCGCCCCTGCCCCTTGCTCACTCACCCCCCACAGTGCAGAGGCCAGCACCCACACAGCTGACTGGGGCTGGAGCTCCGGGCATGGAGCAGAGGCCCTGTAGGCCAGTGCTCACCCCTGATGGATGGGGATCTAGTGGCAGGGCTTGGAGCCTCTGACAGGTGGCGATGCAGCCATCTCCTAGAGCTGGAAGGGACCCCGAGAGGTCATCGAGTGCAGCCCCTGCCCCCATGGCAGGACCCAGCACCGTCCCTGGTAGATTTGCCCCAGATCCCTAAGTGGCCCCTCAAGGGTTGAACTCCTAGCCCTGGGTTTAGCAGGCCAGTGCTCCAACCTCTGAGCTGCCCCCGCCCCAAGCTAGGGGAGCCTGACTGGTTTGGCCAAGAGCCTGTCAAGTGATGGCACGTCAGCTGCCCCGTCCCCCCGTCGCTGTGCACCTCCTACCCTTTGCCTTGGAGCTGCCAAATCCGACTCACAGGAGCCTCCTGCTTGCTGGGCCGGGCAGAGGAGGGATCCCCCCCGTCTCCAGTCCCCACCCAGCCACAGATCGCTGGTCAATTTACCCTCTGGACCTTACCCACAAATCACGCTGGGCCAATCCTTTAGGATATATATCTAAAGGTTTATTATCACAAGAAAGAAAAGCATGAGAGTAAGGTTATTAAAGTACAGTACGTTACATGCACCGAATCTCCCAGTTCTCGATGCAGGCTCTAGCAGAGGTGTTGCAGCTGCTGGTTTAAAAGTTATTATTGCACATCCTATCATCAGGATGGGTTCACAGGTCTTCCAGGCTCTTCGATCCCTGCAATGCTGCCTCTGGGATGAAGTGCTGAGCTGAGAACAAAATGGCATTGACCACATGGCCTCTTTATACCCCCTTCCTAGCCTCTTCTGGTCTCAGCCGGTCACCTGGTCCTCAGCCTCTCTCCGCTGGCAGCTCTTAGGTCTCCGCCCTCATGCTTTAGGTGTGTCTTTGGCCCATCAAGTGCCATTGTTCCACAGGGCTTCGTTAATCAGCCTGTCCATAGCAATGCTCAACCACATTCGGAGAAATATTCAGCTTCCACACAGATTACAGATTCCTACCCACACACACAGACATTATATACTCACATAAATAGCGTACATAAGATCAACAAACAATAAGCTCCCATTCAATCCCGCCCCCCGGCACCCTTTTATAC